TTCCAACTTAAATATTTACCATTATTTTCTATCTACTTTTTCTTGTGTTTGTATAATTCCTGTGTTGAAAGGTTTTTGCTTGGTTACAGCTTTTATTAACTATTGAGTAGCTGGGTTATTTTACTTCTTCTTCTTTGAACAATTATAGGTAGATGCAGTATTCCAGGAACTAGGTAACTTCTTCCAATTATGAGATCCTGTGCTAGACTTTACTAATTTGATGCTCACTGTAATTATGGCAAGTAATGTTTCTCAGTTAGTGAGTAAGGAAACTGACCACCTGCTTAGTCAGGTTCACAGATTGGTGGCAGGTGAAGGTCTGTGTGGTGATGTGAGCCTTGCAGCTGCAGATACCTTTGAATCAGAAGCCTCTGCCCCTCTAGAGCAATGGTATCACAGGTAGAACAAGGTGTTACCACTCTGAAAGTGTAGTTATCACCAGATTATCATCAAAGGAGATTTATGTTGTTTTAAATTTGTTGGATCAAATACTTACTCAAATCAGGTTGGAGTATTTTGACCCATTTCTTATTGATAATAGACTATTAAAAAGTTTTCATTAGTGGCCAGTATGAGAACTTTTCCCCTATTATTCAAGAAAAGAGCTGTTTCATTCTGTCACTTCTTTATTAATCCAGATAGGTAGATATAACTAGATAAAAATCTGATGTTTCCTTTTGTGGGTTTTGAGAACGCTTTCTAATTTGTAGTTTAAATAATTGGGTTGAGAAATCTGTAAGGAAACCTTTATTAAACTATGTCTTTAACTTGGTATTTAGGAACAAATATAATTACATATTTTTGTTATAAATACAGGTTGTAAAGGCATATTCTAAAACAGTGACACAGAAGAAATTTTTTTTTCTTTCTTTCTTTTTTTTTTGAGACAAGGTCTCACTATATAGTTCAGGCTGGCCTTGAACTCACCTCATGGCTTAGGCTGATTCAAACTCATGGTGATCCTTCTGCCTCAGCCTCCTGAATGCTGGAGTTACGGATGTGTGCCACCTTGCCTTAAATGAAGGAATTTCTAAGAAGAATAAAAGTACAAAGCATATCTAAAGTATATAAGAAGTATGCATTAAGTGAGACATCCTTTAATTTGGTCATCTTAAAACAGTATCTGGGTTCCTAGGTCAGCCTCGCCTTCTTTTAGCTGATCTGTGCTATACAATACACTTATAATCTGCATGCAAATATATTTTGTACTACTGCTTTTTTACTTAATAATCACACAGATGGGAAACCTTGGACTATTGGAAGGTGGGCACTCAAAGGAGACCTAGAAAAGAAAGGATGTCTATGTGTGAGGGCTGGGTGAGAGAGACACACACACATATATAAAAAGTTTATCTGAATATGGAGGAATTACAGGGAAGTGTTATCAAGTAATAAATTTACTTTAGAAGCCCAGTAACTAAAACCAGATTACACTGGCTAAGAGCTTTATGAAAATGGTACTGTGTATTGTAGCCTTAAAAGCACTTGTTGGGCTGGAGATTTAGCTCAGTGGTGCACCGCTTGACGGGCAAGTACAGGATCATGAGTTCAATCCCCAGTACTAAAAAACAACCAAAGCAAACAAAGCCCTTGTCTTACTTGATGGAATTGAAAGAGTGCAGCAGTTGTGGGATGCTATCTAGAAAAGAAAACATGCTTGGAATAACCTATTTAGACAAGTATTTGAAGATCATTCTTAAGGTAGATGGCGTCCCTGATACAGCATAAATTTTGTGTGAGAAGTGAAAATAGTTTAACTATATTATGGAGGATAGATGACAAAAATACATAATTGTTTCAGATTATGTGGCTATGAGGAAAAATTAGCCTTTATGCTTTCCAGAAGACTCTTAAATTTGACTTGGTTTTTGATCCCTTTAAAGAGCTGGTAGTAAAAAGCAGGTGCTGAGATACTATAGTTATGCGTACTTAATTTAAAAATAGTAAAGAGTACACAGTGGGTAAATTTGAATTGTTGATAAATAATAATAGACATAAGCAAAGTTAGAATTAAGTAATTTGTACTGTTTATCTTTTTTATATCTAAAGTCTCATTGACTTAATGCATTTTGAAAGGTTTAGGTAATCTATTTCATGCTTTTGATTTTTAGGAATCTCAGGGTTAAGCTAACATTTTTGACGTGTGTGCAAATTAACTGAATTTTAAGCAGAATTGTGAGCAGAACTGCGGCAACAAAAGAGACAGATATTACAAAACAGTTTTAGTCACTGATAAGATGAGTTTGCTGAACTGTACATTAGCGTTAAAATATAGGCATTATAATCAATTTCCCATTTAAAATTTTTGGTTTAATTAAGCCAGTTTTGGTGGGGCACTATTAATATAATGAAGAATGTAGCCTTTCCAATCCCTTGGGCTCTCTGAATAGAATGTGAAGCTAGAATTTGAGGCCAGCATTGGTTGCATAATAGCAATCATTGCATTGTTTTGAATGAAACCATATATTCTTAGGTACTTTCTGTCACTTTAAGTATGAACTTTTTCTTGGCTGATGAAAGTAATTGTTAAATTCACAAAATTGTGGATTTGGAGCAGATCTGTTCTTTGTAGGATGTGGGGCCTAGAGCTAAGCACCCATTTCCTTCTTCAGCCTCCTTCTAGCTTGTTCAGGTGGGATTGGTTGCTGGCCAGTTCCCTATAGATCTCTTATTACTTAGCTCAGGTTCCTGGAGCACAGGTAGCTGCTTACTTTGCCAGTCTTCTCTAGTTAGCATTGCTGCTGCCCTGTGGTGGGCTTCTGATGGTCTCCTTCAGTGAATCTCCAGGGCAGCCACTGAAGCCATTCATTTTCCTGCTTCTAGTGTCTGGTTCAGTGTGCATTATCACTAATGATCATTAAAATCAGTGCATATCATTTAATCAAGTCATTAAAATAAACGAATGATAAGTAACAAGAAGGACGAAGGACAAATGCTCACATGCAGCGTTGGAGCGTGAGGAGTGTGAGTGGAAGGAGACTGGTAGTTCTCTCAGGTTGTTAAGCTTGGGTTTGGGAGCCATTCCTGCCTCTTCCTTTATCTCTGCTTCATGCTTCCATTCCTGGTGTTCCACTTTCCATACTCATCTCTTGAGACTAACACTGTTCTTGCCTAGGTCGTTAGGTACTTCCTAGTCAAGTGTAGTAAAAACTTTTAATCTTCACCTTAGTGGACTCTTGGGCTGCATGTGTCAGGCCTGTTTCATTCGAGTATATGACTCTTCTGCCATGACACTATGTACCCTTTGGGATCTGGCCTATGTTTTGATAACTCTTTGGGCTTCTTTCTCTATGGGTTCACTTTCTGCTTCTTTATTTAAATGGTAGTGTTCTGTAAGATTTGTTTCTCTACCCAGGGTTTTCATTTCATATAATCTTTTAAATAAAGTTCATGGTTTTACTTCTTTCCTGTTTGGTAGTTCATCTAGCATTTATTGAGCATTTGTTTTGTGCCAAATACTTGTTTGACTTATACCCTGGAGAAAGAGTAGTGAATAAAGGAGAAAAATCCCCTGCCCCTGGGTGCATACTTCTTCAACATACTGAATGCTCTATTCATTTTTTAGGTCAGAGGTGACTCTCCTTAGGAAACTCATGTGTCACTTTTTTCTGGGTATTTTCACCTGTAATTCCCTTTGGCACCTCAATTTTCATGCAGAACATGACAGAGTGGCTCTACTGTCTTGCTGTGTGTACCATCTGAGTTGTTTTACCACTTGTCTTCTGTCACTTCCCAGTCTTCAAGTCCTCCTAAATGTGACTGGAGTATGAACTTGCTGCTTCCTTGCACTGCTGCCAGTTCAGGACTGCAACTGCACTTCATAGTGCAGTAGCCCAACCTGCTTTCAGCCACTTTCCGACATAGCAGGTTTCCTGACATGTGACTATGAACACCAGTCCTCTGTAAATGCACTCGCTGGTGCATTCATAAGATGATAACAAGTGGCTTTATGTACCATGCCCTTTCTGTTTTCTGTTTCCTTAAGCTGCTGCTCTGAAGACTTCTGCTTTACTTGTTCCAAACTGCCTACATTTTGTAATATGTGGTTCATCTTTGAGTCTATTTCTTTGATTGTTTTTCCCTCTTTGAATGTTATTCTCATTTATCCTGGTAATCCTCCAGCCTTCCAGTGAGTCTATGTGTATTGTGTGAATATCTAGTGTGATACACAGTAAGGATTATTACATTTTGAAAGAAGAAAAGATCTGTTGAATGCATGCTCTAAGGCGTTATTGCCTTGGACCAGGGCATTGCTCATTCTGCCTAGGGGTTAAGGCCCCAATGACACCCAGTTCCTGGCTCTTTCTGTGGCTTTGGCCTTGAGGCCTGGAGACTGACTCACTAAACCAAAAATCAAATTCAAGGTATAGTTTTGAACTGATTATGTTTGGTGAGATGCTTGCTTATGCAGGGAAGATAGCTTGTGACTCATAGTCTGGGGCTTATTTCCTGTACACTACTGGTCTTTGAAAATTTTTACCCAAGACATTTATTATCTAAAGTCTGCCCTTTCACTTTTTAATGAGCATTCAGATATGGTAATGCTTGATGAGGACTTGCAAACTCAGGTTTAAAAAGAAGTAAGTTGTTCTAAGGACATGCTGAAATCAGAAAGTACTGCTAAATACCTAGTATTCTTTGCCCTTATTTCTACTAAGTTGGAAAGAGCAGAGAGATTACTAATGATCATGTTCATTTCCTATATGCATAATAGAATTCCTATATGCATAATAGAACTTCAAATGCTTAGGATACAAAAATCTTCCTTTATATTATTTGTTACAGAATTGTCTTAATTGTTAAAACTCTCTTAAAAGTTAAGAAATAGTCCTTTATCTATTTAAGTTTTTTTCCTAATATTCTTCTGTATTTTTGTCAGATTATTGGTTTAATAATTTCAGAATTAATAGTTTTTTTAGTGCATATATTAACATAAAAACTTCTGAGTTTGTAATGAATAATAAACTGATAAATTTACTTCTTTATATATTTCTTCACAGGGCAGTCCAATGGACCCAATGGTGATGAAGAGACCTCAGTTGTATGGGATGGGCAGTAATCCCCATTCCCAGCCGCAACAAAGTAGTCCCTACCCAGGAGGCTCCTATGGCCCCCCAGGTGCACAGCGGTACCCCCTCAGCATACAGGGCCGGGCTCCAGGGGCCCTCGGAGGCATGCAGTACCCTCAGCAGCAGGTGAGTGCTGCTAGTTTTTCTGTCCTTTTCTGCTGATAGTGTTTTTGTTGTCTATTACTGTCTATGAGATTGATGTTATTAGAATTAGGAGCATTTCAGTTTTTACTGCTTTCTTTTAGCATTTATTACTTCTTAAAAGATAGAAAGTTGAACTTCTTCAACAATTGGACAAAATACCTGTTGGTAGAAGGCTAGTAAATGCTAGCTTTATTTTAAAGATAGACTATGACATAATTTTGTACCCAGTTATATAAATGTAAGCTCTGAAGTGAACTTGGCTTTTTCAAATTGCTGATGTCATTGTCAGATTTTGAACTGTGAATAGCCTATCTTTGGGTGAATTTTCAAGTCATTTAAAAGTCTTCTTGGGAGATAGCATTAACTTGAAAAATTCTTTCATTATTTTGCTTTATATCTTTTGAGAAAAGTTTCTGTATTTTTATGAGGATTATATCTGGATTTGAGGCTCTAGATTTTGATGAGTTTTGGGTTTTTACTTAAATACAAGACAAGACCTTTTTTCCTTTTCTCCACAGTTAAAATGATGTATCACAAATAATCATGCACCTTTTAAGATCTTGTAGCGTAAACCTGAAATCTTTTTGGATACTCGAGTGTGTTTTTGTTGTATTGCCCCAAGGAAGCTTGAAATTTGGAAAAGACTAAATTAGATTCAGACTTGTTAGCATATTTAGTTACCCTAGGAATACCAGAAAGGCTTATTTTTAAATTGCCATCCTGTGCCCGACACCCTAGGGAGTACATCAGTCTAGTGCAGTGTATGTTCTGCTGCTTTCAAATGACAGCATTTCATAATGTTGCCCAGTAAAACTCATTCCGGAGGTTAACAATACTTTCTCTCAGAAAATTCTCTGTATTTGCCCATAGGGTAAAAAAGGTAGACAAAATTTTTGCTCTATGTACATGTAGAAAATGATTTATTATACTCTACATATACACAGATGTGTACTAAAAGTTCATTAGTAAGTTGCCTCTGAGTCTTTTCCTTTGGAGACTGAATGTTGTCTTTTTCTCTTCAAGGATATTATGGGAAAACATACCAATAGCATGATATTTGGGTCCTAGTTGTTTATTCCTTAGACACTCTTAGCTATTGTCAGAAGATTTCATTGCATAATTATTAAAAATTAGCTACTCAGAATGCCAGCAGTCACGTAATTATACTCCTTAATTTTTTCCAGAGTATCCTTTCTTTCAGAAAAATTTTGCTTCCTAGAGTAAAAATCTTTAGTAGAAACTATTAATTGTGATGAGATAATTTGTAAATAATAAAAATTAAGTGGTTTTTGTATCTGTTTCTTTGCCCAGACCACCCTCCCCATATCCCCACTGCACCATCAAACCTTTTTGATTTGTAATACTACTTTGTCTTTCTAGAGGGGAAGAAATCCTGGGCAGGGTAAAGTCCTTGCCTTCTATAGCTAATTTGATTTGGAGCTGGTAGTTACCTATGATACTTTGGCCACAGAACAAGATACAGAGAGGTGCATTGCAGTAGCAGGGCTAATGGGAGAAGTGTATGCTTGCCATGCTGCCTCTTGATTCAGTGCTTTTTGGTTTATCATGTGTTCTTGATGGGAGAGAGGTTGGAAAGTTCTTTTCAAATAGTACTTATTCATGACAGGAACTAGATGCTCCTTTACTATATTCTACTTTTTTTTTTTTTTGTACTGGAGATCGCACTCATGACCTAGCGCTTGCTAGGCAGGTACTTATGCCGCTGAGCTAAATCCCCAGCTCCTTATCTCTATTCTAAATGCTTTAGTCTTGCTAGAAGTTTTAGACATTGGCTTAATTTGTAGAACCAAAGTAGCAGTCAAGTGAAGAGGGTATGTGAAGAATGATCATTGAACTTAGGAAATTATATTATTTTTTTTCTCCCAGATGAATAAGGCTAAAAATAAAGGACATACAAAAATATAGTATGTATAGGTAACTCATTTTTGTTAGATTCTGGTTTTATTTGATCCCTGTGACTCTTACGTGCTTGTAGACTATAATAACTCTTAGTTGAAGGAAGAAATTGGTGAAGCTTGCTTATCAAGTATTTTAGCAAATTTTTAATAAGGTTTCAGATTAGGCATTTTATTGCTAGCAAAAAACAATGTCCAGCCAGTTCTTAAATGCATAGATCTTTCTGATAGTGAAAGGAAAATAGTGTGTGTCTGGTAAGAAACTGAATATCCTGGCTGCAGAAATATCAAGCTTTCATATTGAGTTAATCATGATCAAGACTTTAATACTCTACTGCTTTCTCACCCTTTCTTTTAGGTATAATACATCTTTGAAATATAGTATCTTGTTTTGAAGTTTAAAAAGCTAAAGGTAGCTGTGAATAGAGTTTTGAGTGTAACATTTTAAAGGAGACAGATTTTATAGTATCAAGTCCATGTGAACAATTCTTATTGTTTTGAAATGGAAAAGAATTAGTGAAGTATTTGAGTAAAAGTTATTAGAGCACATGCATTTATTTTGTTAGCTCGAGTCTTTGTTCTTTGGTGAGAAATTTTCAATGAGTTGCTTTGTTTACAAGCTTTGGGAATTTTAAGTGTCCCCAAACAAGTTCCTGGCACTGTGATTGGCTGCTAGGCCTATCCATTTCCTTACAGGATTAATTTAATTGGCTAAGCATTGTTGTAGTTGTGACTGCTAATGTTCTTCAGGGGAAGAGTTGAAAGATAATTAGTACATTGAGTATTTATCGAGTGGACATCACCACCTAGGCATGACTTTGCTTTGGATGCTTTCCAGAGCTCTTTGTGTTTGGTTTGTGAACCTCTAATGAGCTGAATCCAGTTCATTTAATATGCTCATATATTTCTGCAAAGGATTAAAATGCAGGAATTCAAGTTCATAAAATGAGTTGCCCACTTACCAGATGAGTGGTAAGTTGTCTTTGGCTCAGAGGTCACAGTTTGATTCCTAGCTGGCATTCTACTCCTGTAATAGGAATTTTAAATGAGTATTCTGTTAGAACTGCGGTGCTTGTATGAAATTTAACATAAATAGTATTTTGCTTTTACAATTTTTTTTTGGTCTCTTTGAGAGTCAGGAGGAACTAGCCACTGAGGGTTTGATTTTAGTACAGTATTAAACTGATGATTCTTGATTTGTGTGGTGATAATTTTATTTTTAAAATGTACTCATGGCTGGATCATTGAAGCATGACATGATAATAGTATATCATTTTTGTCTTTATTAACTGGAACTATATTTGTGGTCTTTCACTTGCTGATTCTCCCATGTCATCAGGCAAATACATGCCTAAAGAGATTAGTTTTACACGGTTGCCTAAAAACTGGTCTACTTGAGTTTTTATTGAGTTGAGAGGGGAAATGAATTTTCTGTGCTTCTGTAGAGAATGTTCTGCCTCCAGGCTCTTGGAATTCAAACCTTGGGATGGTTAACAAAAGTAAACTGGTTGGGTTTTTTTTAAATGTAGAGCTATATAGCTATATAATCTTTAAGGTTACTAGAATCTGTGTTACTTTTTTTTTTTTTTTTTTTTTTTTTAGAGATACCAGGTTATTCTTGGTATTCTTCTTATATACTGAATCGGGGTTGTGGGTGAGCAGAGGTTTACTTCATTTTCCTTGTTGTCTGTGGCCATTTATTTATACATGGACTTTTGCCAGCTTGTTTTAAAAAAGATTTTTGTGGCCGAGTGTGGTGGCGCATGTTCTTAATTCCAGCTGCTTGGGAGACTGAGACAGGAGGATTGCAAGCTCAACGCTTATCCAGGCAACTTGGCAAGACCTCTTCTGAAAATGAAAAATAAATAAGTAAAATAAATGAACAAACAAATAAATAGAAATGGACTGGCATAAAGCTTTGTGTGGTAAACCTTGGTCCAGAAGTCCCTGGTAACTCAAAGCAAAATAAAGACAAACAAATAACCTAAAAAGAATACTTAGTGAAGAAAGACTACAGAAGCTGAGTTTTATTTATTTTTTTTTCTGGTCTTTTTCATTTTTATCGATACCAGGGATCGAACTCACAACTGCCTGCTTGCAAGGCAGGCGCTTATGCCGCTGAGCTAAATCCCCAGCCCCAGAAGCTGAATTTTTATCTGGGTGAAGCAGACTTCAATCATGCAGTGTGAGGTTTTCCCTGAGTTTTGGGATTTTTTTTTTTTGTACTGGAGATCGAGCTCACAGCCGTGACTTGCCAGGCACTTAAGCCACTGAGCTAAATCCTTGGCCTTGGGATTGATATTTTAAGTATCCTTACTTTGTTACAAATATTTGGTAGTGTGATATAAATTGGAATGATACAACTGGTGAAGGGAAATAAAACGAATGAGATAATTTCTTGAATGACTTTATAATAAGACATAACTTAGTTTTTAAAAAATTCTATATTGTGAAAACTTTTACAATAAAAGCGGAATATGATTATTGCTTAGAAGTAGCAAAATTAAATAGAAATAAGTTACTTTTGTTATGGTGATGTATCTGAATTTAGCACTTTAAGTTAAAGTAAACGCTATATTAGATCTCTTTTTGAAAAGATCTTTTAAAAGCAGTCTATTCTAATTTGTGTCTAATTTATCATCTGTCCTCCTTGGTTATATCTAACATTTTGCTGCACATTTTTTGAATTAAATACTTACTTCACAACATAAGCGTTTTATTTGGTAGCTTCTTTACAGCCAACACATTTCTTCCAATGCAAATGTTTATTTTGGCTGTGGTTATTTCTAAAAAGAAGATAAACATTACAATGATCACTCTAAAATAAATGTTTTCATTGGGGTTATTAAGGCTGTTAATCAATTTCTAGGATTCTCACCTTTGTTACTTTATAATATTGGTAAATTCTGGGAAATATTTTCATTTTAAGTGTGATTGAAGCTGTATTTTGATAGGGTAAACAGTATCTCAGAAAAGAAAGGATATGTAGTGAGAAGACGGCTGCTTTCTAATGACATAAATATGTCAGAGTATTTTGACATGAAGTATTTGTTGGAATTGATACCT